CGGGGTTTCACCATGTTGACCAGGATGGTCTCGATCTCTTGACCTCGTGATCCACCCGCCTCGGCCTCCCACAGTGCTGGGATTACAGGCGTGAGCCACCGCGCCCGGCCCGCTAGAGAACTTTTAAAGTGTGCTTTCTTTGGCAAAAAATTGTAAAATTCTAACAATATTTAAGTGCCTACTGTGCACCAGACAATATTCCAAGAACTAGAGATACAGTAGTGAACAAAACCAAGTCCCTGTTCCTGCTGTCATGGAACTTAACATTCTAATGGAGAGAAGTAGACAATAAGCAAATACATGTCAGTTGGTAATAAGTGCTTAAAAAAAAAAAGAAAGAAAGGGAGAGAGTTGCTCTTGCAGATAGACTGCTCACAGAGAATCACTCTGATGAGATAAAGAGTGGGCAGAAACTTTAAAAGCCTTGTAGATATCTATAAAGGGGAAGAATATTCTAGGTTGCGGCCACGGCATAAGTGAATACCCTTAAAACAGGAGCTTGCTCCACAGATTGATGGCAAAGTAGATCAGGTGTGACTACAGTGAAGGAAGCAAGAGCTTGGTAGGAAATGACACCTGAGAAAGAGCTAAGACCCAGATCACATAACTGAATGAGCAAACCAGTGAGAGAGTGGAAGCAAATGACATTGGAGAGCCAACGACCATGTGAGACCTTGTAGGCCGCAGTAAGAACTTAATTTTTATTCTGAGTGAGAAGGGAGACCATTGAGAACTTTAGTAAGCCTGTGCATCTGGACTGTGAACTTCACAGGTCTCAGTTCACCCCAACCCCCTTTAGGTTGAGCAGGATAGCTAGAGTGGGCTGGAGCTGGGTATTTCCCTTCCCTGAAGTCAGTTAGGCTCTGATAAAACCCCAGCAGGTTAGCCTCTGATTAAATAGTTTCTCCTTAGGGCAGACCTTGTTAAGAAGAACAAAAAGCTGACGTATTTCAAAATGGTTCCTTTTCCCCACCCACTGCTAGAAGCACGAATAGTCACCCTGAGGACCTGTGAGAGCTCTAGGAGCCTATAAAAAAATTGGAGAGTGGGAAAGAGGGGATGGCTAAGTCCCTCTGACTTGTCCACTGAGCCTTCAGGTTTACCTACCCTGGTACCGCTTCCATTGGAGGTGTGAGCAGCTAGTTTCTGCTCTGGTAAGTTGTGATTCTCTACATTCACCTGCATTCGATCCTTCCAATTTTGGCAGCGGTAGTATGCCTGGTAACTTTACTTCTTTTATGGATCTTATGAAGAAGAGCTGTTGATTTTCGGTTTGTCTAGCTTTTTACTTGTTGTTAGGACTGCGTAGCAACTTCCAGGATTTTTACATGCCAGTCGGGAAACAAGAAGTCAACAAACATCACCACTGAAAATTTTGAACAGGGTTGTGACATCCCATTAACATTGTTTCACCATGACCTCAATTGTAAAACGTTGTTAGATTTTTGAAGCACAGATTTTTGCCATGCATTGCATCCATTTTCAAGGCTTTTTTATTTAAAGGATGTAAGTCTGTCAGTTATTTACACTTTAGAAAAAGTAAATTAATTACATAATAACATCTGAGAGAGAGTCCGGGCATGGTGACTCACACCTGTAATCCCAGCACTTTGGAAGGCAAAGGCAGGAGGATCACTTGAGCCCAGGAGTTTCAGACCAGCCTAGTCAACATAGTTAGATCCAGTCTCTAAAAAACAATTTTTTTTTTTTTAAATTAGCCAGGCATGGTGGCATCCGCCTATAGTCCTAGCTACTTGGGAGGCTGAGGTAGGAGGATTCCTTGAGATTAGAAGGTCGAGGCTACAGTGAGCTGTGATCACACCATCACACCCCATCCTGGGTGAGAGACCAGACCCTGTTTCTCAAAAATAACACCTGAGATCAGCAAAAACTGGAAGCATTTTTAATAGAAAAGGAAGGAACAGAGAGCAGTATGGATAGGTGCTTTGGACAACCAAAAACCTTCATAAAGTAGCTGTTGGGTTAGAGGGGTCAGAGAAGAAGATTCACAAAGTGAGAAAGGAGTTAAGAAATCCTGGACCAGCTTATTGAAGGGGGGAAAAATTTAATTTAAAAATTAGAAAGATTTAAGACATCCAAGAAAGCAGCATTTTAATTTTGCCTTAGGCCTAATGGCAACTCAAGTTGCACTGGAAATCATTTTGAGTGCTACTTATTGAAAGTGGGTTGTAGGTTGCCAGTGTCACTGTTAAGAAATTAAGAAGGGAGAGTGTTAACATATTTGTTAAGAATTTGCATTTGAGAGTCAGCCTCATACCCAATCATTCCTTTAATAGCTTTTTAGTTTTAGGGCAAGCCACTTAACCTTTCAAAGCCTGTTTTCCCCCCTTTAAGCTCTACTTACAGCAACTACATTTCTGAGTTAACTTCTCATCCAGCCTACTTTTTTTCCTTCTCATACATCAGAATAACCTTTATCTTCTAGTATTCACTGAATCCATCATAATCTCCATTGGCTGATTCACATTTCACTCCCACTTCTATCTTCTGCCATTCAATTAACAGCAAAAGTTATTAAATATCTTCTATAGAAATAAATGAATTCCAACCAAATGAGAAAAGCCTGTTTATTCTGAGCCTGCTGTAGCAAGGGAGTGCACCACTACCACTTGTGTTTGGGCAGAGACTCAAGGCAGGCAGAAGAGTGGGAGAGCTTTCTAGTGGGGAAAACAAGAGAAAACTTCACATCTGCCCTGATCACAGGTTGTCATGGGGAAGCTGTGGGTGAGCTAACTAGAAATGGGGACCTCTTGTGTGATTGTTTAGGGGTACATATTTGGCTCTCTCCGGCTGATCCCAAGTTGGAAATAGGGACAAAATTAGGAAAGCTGGCAGTTATTAATGAAGTTCTTGCCATTTGGAGCCAATTGTTATAGAAGTTACTGGTTAGTTTCCTGGATTGTCACTAGTGACAGAAATCTAGTTTCCTGCCAGTCTTACTTATACCAGACTGACTTCCTGTGTTGTTTATTGTAAATGAGGGGTTGGCTTCCTGGGCTGGTTGGTGCAGGTTGTGTGTTCAAAAAATCCATATTTACATACGGTCTCTCCTTTGTCCCTTCATATATTCTTTCTCTCACTACTCTATATCATTCACAATTATTTCAAATTAATATCTTTACCATAGTTTGAAGGTCAGTGTCTTTCTGACATGCTTGATTTAGCATCATGTGCCATTGGAAGAATTTGGCAGGCTGAAATTTTCACTTTACTTTTTCTAGCACTGATAAACTATTACTCTTTTAACTTTCAGTGGTTACCAATGACAAAGGAGCTGAGCTTCCAAAAATTTATTGAACAATCTGACTTACTAGGAGAACTTAAATATGACTTCAATGAAAAAGCTGAATTCAGACACACCGAGACTCAAAGGCCTTTTGTCTTTAACTACTATGAAAATGGCCTTGAGGAAAATAGCCATCGCTACCAGGCCCTCGGCCATTTGCTTGAACAATACGTTTATGAGCTTTTGGAGAAAGTGTGCAAATTAGAAAAAGTTTATATCCCACCTGAGGCTGATAAGGAAGAACCAAGAAGCTTTTTTTTCATGAGTGAGAAAGCATTAACAAATCACCATTCTGCTCTTCTTGTCCTTCTTCAAGGCCACGGGGTCTTTCGAGCTGGTCAGTGGAGTCAGCAGGCAATAATACATCATGGTCTCCAACATGGAAGTCAAATACCATGTATTCAAATGGCATTGCAGGCACATTATGATGTAATTGTACTAAACCCCAATGATAATTTTGTGGAACTAAAGATGGAAAAAGAGTGGAACGGCCTTTTAACACAAAATATTGAGTCTTCTTCTCTAAAAATGGTTCAAGGTGGGAGCTTTTTCTCTCTCCAGCATCCTCCCGAATGTATTCCAAAAAGATGCAGCAACACCCCCGAAGAACACATGGCTTACATATGGGATTACTTCATATCAAAGACTGAAGGCAAGGATATTGCCTTCATTGTACATGGTTATGGAGGCTTGGTTTTTATGGACTTGCTTGTTCGTAGACGGTGGGAAGTGATGAGCAAAGTATATGCTGTTGCGCTTATTGACTCTGAACATCATGTAGGACACCAGCTGGGAAGTGATGGACAGCTACTAGCATGGATAAAGCACCACTGCCGTGAATGGGTGACAAGTCCTAAGCCTTTGGATAAACCTGCAGCTGCTGTTTTCAAAAGGGAATTTCCTATGGTTTCTGCTGGTACAGAAAAGTACAGCTTAGCCCCTTCCTCTAGCCTTCAGTCAATTTTTAAGTACTTTAAAAAAGCTTTAAAAGCCAAAACAACCATTAATTTCTCTCGAATGCCAATAGCGACTAGAAGTTCCACAAAAAGAAAGCAAAGTGCTTAAACTACTTTTGTCATCTAAGTTTGTTTTGTTGTTGTTGTTGTTGTTGGTTCTCCTGCAACTTTGCTAATACAGATTCTGGAAATAAAAAAAAAGAACACTTTCAACTCACACACAATATGATGTTCTGGCTTGAGGTTTGATTTGTTACTTTTTGTTACCTTTGTTTTTATGAGGCAGGGTCTGACTTTGCTGCCCAGGGTGGTCTGGAAATCTGGCCTCAAGTGAACCTCCCACTTCACCCTCCCGAAGTGTGGGGATTATAGGCTTTAGCCACTGCACATGGCCAGGTTTGTTGCTTTATTTTCTTTTTCTTTTTTTTTTTTTTTTAAGGAGGGGTCTCACTCTATCACCCACGTTGGAATGCAGTGGCACAATCTCAGCTTACTGCAACCTCTGCCTCCTGGGTTTAAGCAATTCTCCTGCCTCACCTTCCCAAGTAGCTGGGATTACAGGCGCACACTACCACGCCTGGTAATTTTGGTATTTTTAGTAGAGACGGGGTTTCACCATGTTGGCCAGGCTGGTCTAGAATGCCTGACCTCAGATGATCCACCCACCTCAGCCTCCCAAAGTGCTGGGATTACTGGTGTGAGCTGCTGCACCTGGCCATTTTGTTGTTTTTTTGAAAAGTGAACATATTCTCTTTTGTAGCCTATTGATGAAGTGGGAATTCAGTGCCATCATTAATGTTTTGCAGTATTTTTTAAGTGTGAAGATCTTTCTTTTAACAAATTATGGTTTAATATAATGACAACAAAATGGCAATTGATAAAAAATATTGTCAATCTTTGATTTCTATACCACCATAATAAAATTACAAGTGAACGTAAAAATTAAACATCATGAACAAACTACATTCTTTGTATATGTTTTTTGTTAAAATGTGTTATACTTCCTGTTCACCAGGTCAGAAGAAAAAAATTTAATTTCTTGGTCTTGTGTGTGTATTCACTCATATCTTCAACTAATATCGGAGTGTTTACTATGGGCCAGTCAAGACTCGGTGTTTGGGACACAGTAGAAACAGCACCGACATTGCCTTCCTCTTTACAGAGTTTACAATGGCCGAGAAATTACAAATGTGAAGAGTGTTAAAAAGTAAAGGAAGCCGGGCGCAGTGGCTCACACCTATAATCCTAGCACTATGTGAGGCTGAGGTGGGTAGATCACTTGAGGTCAGGAGTTCAAGACCAGCCTGGCCAACATGGTGAAACCCCATCTCTACTAAAAATACAGAAATTAGCAGAGCATGGTAGCTAGCACTTGTAATCTCAGCTACTTGGAGCCTGAGGCAGAAGAATCACTTGAATCCGGGAGGCTGAGGTTGCAGTGACCGAGACCGTGCCACTCCTCTCCAGCCTGGGCGACAAGAAAGAAACTCTGTCTCAAAAACAAACAAAAAAAAGGGTACCATGGAATATCTAGCATGAGAGCTAACCAGCCTTGGGGTTCAGGGAATATTTCCCTAAGAAAATGTTGCTTAGTTTGAAGAGTAATAGTAGTTGTCTATGAGAACAAAGTCACAGGCAAATGAACAGCCGATGCAAAGGCATTCAGGCACAAGAAGGCTAGCTCAGCTACAGCTAAAAGATTGAGGAGGAATCATGTTCGGAAACAAATTATTTATGACACTTATTGATATAATTTGGATTTGGGTATTTGTCCCCCCCTACATCTCATGTTGAATTGTAATCTGCAATGCTGGATGTGAGGCCCAGTAGTGTTTGGGTCATGGGGGTAGATCCCTCATGGCTTGATGCTGTCTTCACAGTAGTGAGTTCTGGTGAGATCAGGTCATTTGAAAGTGTGTGACACATCCCCCACCCTCTCTCTCTTGTTCCTGCTCTGCCATGTGAGATTCCTGCTCCCCTCACCTTCTGCCATGAGTAAAACTCCCTGAGGCCTTCCCAGAAACCAAGCAGATACCAGTTCCAAGTTGCCTGTATAGCCTGCAAAACCATGAACCATGAACCAATTAAACCCCTTTCCTTTTTTTTTTTAAAGACGGGGTTTCACCATGTTGGTCAGTCTGGTCTCGAACTCCCAACCTCAGGTGATCCGCCCACCTTGGCCTCCAAAGTGCTTGGATTACAGGCATGAGCCACCACACCCAGCCCCCATTTCTTTATAAATTACCCAGTCTCAGGTATTTATAGCAATGCAAGAACACCCTAACACAGAAAATCGGTACCAAGGAGAAAGGTGTTGCTATAAAGATACCTGAAAATGTGGAAACAGCTTTGGAATTGGGTAATGGGCAAAGGTTGAAACACTTTGGAGGGCACAGAAGACAAGAAAATGAGGGAAATCTTGTAATTTCATAGAGAGTGGTTAAATGCTGATAGTGATATGGACAGTGAAAACCAAGTTGATGAGGTCTTAGATGGAAATGTGGAACTTACGGACTGGAGCAAAGTTCACACATGTTATGCCTTAGCAAAGAACTTGGATGCATTGTGCTACTGCCCTAGGTTCTGTGGAAGTTTGAATGTGAGAGTGATGATTTAGGTGTCTGGCAGAAAAAATTTCTACACAGCAAAGCATTCAAGATGTGGCCTGGCAGCAGGGAGCGGTGGCTCATGCCTATAATCCCAGCACTTTGGGAGTTGAGGTGGGTGGGTTGCCTGAGGTCAGGAGTTCCAGACCAGCCTGACCAACACAGTGAAACCCCGTCTATACCAAAAATACAAAAAGTTAGCTGGGTGTGGTGGCAGGCACCTGTAATCCCAGCTACACAGGAGGCTGAGGCAGGAGAATCGCTTGAACCCGGGAGACGGAGGTTGCAGTGAGCCAAGATCACCCCATTACACTCCAGCTTGGGCAACAAGAGCAAGACTCCATGTTGAGAAAAAAAAAAAAAAAGGCCGGGCGCGGTGGCTCAGGCCCG